TATTCTTCTTCTTCTTCTTCTTCCTCTTCTTCTTCTTCAAATAATAATAATGATCATCATAATTAGCCATTAATTACCAAGGTAATTTGATTTACTATTTACATTTTATACAATCAAATCAAACTAAATGTCATATGAAACATAGTTTAGAAAAAAAAATTGAAATAAGTGAAATAGAGAGAAAGAGAGAGAGAGAATGAAAGAAAGAGAGGGAGGGAGGGAGGGAGAAAGAGGGGAAGGGAGGAAAGGAAAGAGAGACAAAGAAGAGAGTAATCTTTAAAGTAGTAACAAAAAAACAAAAAAAAGAAAAAAAGAGAAAGAAGTGAACGTTAATAAATTTATTTTCCGATTAATAAACTAATTAAATAAAATTATTACAGTTTTGAAATGATTTAACTAGATATTTGCATAGTTGAATTCATGAGTCGATCGAAGCTTGACCACCATGGAAAACCTGGAAGAACTAGACAGCACGAGACCGATAAGTCTTAAGTTCGAATCTTGCGAGAAGGGATTGTGAATGCACACTGCTGAGGAGTCTCATAATGGGAAAAAACAGCCGTCCAGTGTTTCCAGATTTTCCATGATAGTCTAGCTTCAATTGACTAATGATTTCAACTATATAAAATTTAATAAAATCTCCACACAAAACCTCTTATTCTAATAGCTAAATATCAAAGAAATATAAATATGTAGAGGAACATAGACACATTAATCAAGATTGATATACAAATGCATATCTATCTATCTGATAGTTATAAGTAAATTATAAGTTCTGAATAGGGATTTGTAGGGATTGTATTAATGTTAATAGTTGGATTTATGAGTCGATTAAAGCTAAACCACTATTGAAAATCTGGAAGTATTGGATGTCCATTTCGCTCTAGTATAAGACTCCTCAGAAGTGTGCATCGACGATCCTGTAAATAAGACTCGAACTCAGCACATTCGGCTTCACATGAAAATACTTAACCTCTAGACCACTGAGTCAATATCCAACGGTGTTAATATCTAGATTCAATCTATTCATGATCATTCATAACCCTTTATCCATTATCTGAAATGGATAACTATCTCATACCTAATACAGATTCAGGTCTAACATTTGATCAATTCATGATCACGATCAAAAAACATCAACCATCTTCACAAATTCATCCTAATACATTAAATTAACGATCAAAATCCCACTATTAACCATAATCTATCTATTTCATTTCCCCTTTCAAATCAAACTGTAAATAATAGAAAAAAACATTAATGATGAGTAAAAGTTTTTTTTAAAAAAAAACCACAAAAAAGAAAAAAAACGAGAAAAAATAAACAAAAAAAAGAGATGAAAAATTCCATTTATTTACTTCTTTTTATTTACTGTTTAGTTGACATTAATGTTTATTTATTTTATAGATTTTTTAATAAAAATAAATAAATCGTTAAATTTTGATGTTTAGACTAATGATTATGATGATGATGATGACGATCAGGATGATGAGGATGGTCAGGATGATCAGGATGATGAGGATGAGGAGGAGAAGGAAGAGGAAGAGCAGGATGAGAATGAGGAAGAGGAGGAGGAAGAGGAGGAAGAGGAGGAAGGGGAGGAGGAGGAGGAGAAGGATGGTGATGACTACAAATGTGTTAGATACAAATGAACAAGCATAATAACAACAAAATAAAGAGAAAAAAAAGAGAGAAAAGTAAACAACCCAAGGAAGAAACCCCGAAGTTGATTTCTCTTATATCTATTAATGATATAAGGTTAGTAATGTTATGATTAAGAATCCATTAAGAGATTCTTTCGTTGTTATTGTTTATTTTAAAAATAGAATTAAATATGAACTTTGTCATTGATTACACATTAAAATGTTTATTCAAGATAATAACATAAATTAATTATAGAATATTTATGTAAATGGATTATTTGAGATAAATCATATGGTTTATACTACTTATGTTGATAGATATAAGTAGTATATAACATTATATAGAAATGAAATATGCAATAATTGAGATCATTAGTTAAATGAAGCTAGACCAACATGATAAGCCTAAAAGCAGTTGACAACCGTTTCTTCTTATTGTGGGACTCCTCAGCAGTGTGCATCAACGATCCCGCACCCGCGGGATTCAAACCCAGAATCTACCAGTCTCGCGCCAGAGCAATTAATCGATAGACCACTTAGCCGGCCGGTATCCAACGGTGTTAATGTCTAACTTTAAATAATCCACGAAGTTTAAACAACCGTTCACCAATTGTCTTGTTGTCTTGAGTTGTTATCTCACAACAGACGTGGTTGAACTCCACTGGTTACTGCTTCTCACTAGAACTCCAGGACATATATCTTGAAATCCTAGATGAGCACTGCTGAGGAGTCCCATAATAGGACGAAACGGCCGTCCAGTGCTTACGGGTTTTCCGTGTTGGTCCAGCCTCAATTGACTCATGATTTCAACTATGAAAATACTGAAATCTTCACAAAAACCTTTCTGAAGCCTACTTGAAATGAATGAGAACCTGGAAGAGAATAACTACAATTACAGAGTTCTTTCGTAAAATGGAAAACCTGGTAAAACTGGACGGTTCTTGGTTCAAGTGGGGTGGCGGATGCGCGCTGTTGAGCAGTCTTATACTACAATGAAATGGCTGAAAGGCTAACACTTGACTTATTATAAACCACTGTGTCTCCTAAAAGAAATAATACCATTAACTAATTGATACATAAATTTGAATACATTTATTTCAAAGAGTTTGTTAAATAGACGTAAACTGATACTATTCGGGATGTATTAGATCATCTACCTACTTTCATTTTCGAATAGATAAATTTCTTTTATAAAAGAAGAAT